GATTGAGAAGCATTTCCAAGTAAGGTGTTGAAAGTCAGAAGTGATCTAAAGAAAGGGACAGATTGATGATGTGACAGAGTAAAACAACTTAAATGTGTATTAATAGGGATCGAGTGGAAAGATATTCAGAATAAGGATTACTCCTCAGACATGGAAAGAGTTGGGGCCTGTCTTTTGGAGCCACCTGGGAAGCTTCTCAAGAATGATTTCAAAGATTGATAGATTAAAGATAGATAGAATAATAGATGATGGATGGCTAAATAGATAGATAGAGACAAGGGAAGCATGTCACGCCCTCTTCCTATCTTCTGATTTGTCCATCTTGCCAGTAAGCAACCAATGGGATATGGCTGGGGATATATCTATATCTATATCTATCTATCTATCTATCTATCTATCATCTATCTATTTATCTATATCCTTACGAAGGTTCTGGGGATGGTTAACCAGTATTTTTTTTTTCAAAATAGTGTCAGAAAACAGGACAATGAGATCACTGTATAAGTTAGCTATTTCCTCTAACTGATTGCATAATCTTCCAAAGGACTTTACCTGTTCTCCTTTGTTTGGTCAGTTCACATTCTCATCAATGTGGCAGGAAAAAGAAAATCCAGGTTTCCAGCTCTTATGTTTGAGACCTCTGCAAGGCCAGAAGGAAGGGGCTGTGTGGCGCCAACCCTTTGGAGAAGCTGAGTCTGGCAGGGATGTGCCTGGGTGCTTCAGCTCTACTCCATGGTGCCATTCCAGACATCTTTACAACCATATAAAGACACATTATCCAGAGAATTTTTATATGATATTGGATGAGTTACGATTTATCACACTATTGAAGTTCTGGGGAACACAAAAAACATGGCTGGTATGGCAAAACGCCTCTAGGTGCACAGTCCTTCTAGGTTTTCTCTTGCATTGGAGCGGTGCCTCTGACCACAGGGTTAAAGAGAGACAAGAGGCCTCCACCTGAGTCTCATGACAGCTCCACCAAGAGGCAGGTTGATGGGAAAACCAAGGATCTAGGATGGAAGTACAAAAATCATTTAGCCAACCCAACCAAGGGATGAGCACCTGACTGAGAGCTCTGAAGAGTCCATGGAGAATAAAGGTTTGGAGGTTCCACCTTTTCTGTTTGCCTTGAGTACCACACCCTTCAGAGTGTGAGCAGGTCAGGTGTCTCTCCTGTCCACCTCCTCTGCAGCATCTGGGTTTAGGCCTCATTCCATAAGCCAGAACAGAGCTGCGATGCAATTGGAATTCAGCTCTATTATTTATAGAGATTATTTGGGATGTTTTTGGTTCTTCTTTAATGGACATCAAAAGACACAGATTCCATTCTTTACTGAACAAAACCCATGAATTACGATTTGCTGGGTCTTAGGAGTTTAAAAACAAATGTTATATTTGTGAGTTTAGTTCCTATGGTGCCCATGGATAAGTGTAAGAAAGAAAAGTTCTCATTCGATCTTGGCAATTTTGACTTATCTTAGGGAAAAGCTTATGCTTTTGCTTAGAGGGAAGGTCAGTGATAGTCGTGCTTAAAAGAATTAGCAGCAACTTTAGACATACTAATGAGGGATTTGACCTTCCTCTTTTGTTGTAAAGACTTGTGAAATGTGGAACTTAAGTATTATGTGTTTGTATGTTGCATTTGTTATATCTTCAGACTCAAGTACATATCTCATGCTGAATTTTTTAATGAAAAGCTTTGTATGGGCAGGCAAAATGGGTACCAAAGGGAAACCTTGCCAACAAGGAAGACATTTATATGTGGAGGAGATACGTACAGTGTGTGAGGAGTTTACGAGATGCGTGTGCTGATGTGAAATAAGTTTCTTAATCCTTCCAGCACATCAGAGTTGAACGTGACTGTTTTAGTCATCAATAGAGCACACACAGCTTTTGGAAGACTGATTTGCCCTGTATTCATAGATGTTTGCAATTTTGCTTTTTTTGTGTTTCTTTGCTGTGAGATGGCTGTTGCTCTTTGAAACTCACCTTTGGATTGTATTTTGAATTGATATTTTTGTTTGGCATCAATAAAACATTTTAAATTATTTTAAAAATTCATCATTTTCTTCTGGACGTGTGTCACCATAACAAAGCAATGTGTGCTATGTGCTATTTCCAAACAGGGCGGCTAATGAGTATTGGAAAATAAGTAATCCACCGTCAACCCGGGGTTGTTTTTTCTTGCACGCTCTTGGCACCACACTTGCACTCGGATTTCACCTGTGATAACTTCCAGACCCTTAAATGGGCTGTGTTATGCTGCCACTGCCTGGTCCATGCCACATTATACCAACTCTCCGCTCCATGTCCCCTGGGCTCGGCTAAAGTCGAGTCTTCAGTAACAGATTTCATTCCTAAGAATAGAACTTGTTCTCCTGACTCCCCCTACATGTGGCAGGCCATCTTCAGCTGACAAAAATCAATGGACAAGTGACTTACTAGAGTTCTCAGCTCCCTTCTCTATGACCTTGCAGGCTGCTTAGTCTTGGGTACAACTGTTCATTATGGAAATGAGATAAATCACTTCAATCTGGTCATTGGAAGGGGTAGTGTGGCTGAAGAACATGAAGATATCAAAGACCTCCCCCCCAAAAAATTAACTCAAATCAAAGTAAGTACTGAGTTTATTTTCAACAAATATAGCTATGTTGCCTTACTATTATAGCAGTCCATGGACAGAAAAAAACTTTTCCACAATAATACAAAAAAATGTTGAGGGCATGTGGTAGATGGTATAAGTACAGCATCTTAGTTTGATTACTGTCCACTATTTCTGAGCGTTCTAAATTCTCTACCCAAGTTCCAGCTTTTAGATAAGTTGATGCTTCTCTTTGTCTCCCATTGGGTTAGTAATTTTTCATCACTTCTTCAATCCAAGTAACAAACCTTGAAACACGAACGTAGACACCCGGTTTATTGGGGCGTGCACAGCCAAGACCCCAAGAAGTGACTCCTTGTAAAATGTATTTGTCCTTCTCAAAACAAACCAGAGGTCCTCCACTGTCACCCTGGACAAGGAAGGGAAAAGTCCATATGAGGATTAAGCTGCCCTCTTTTATTATGGGATGTCATCCTCTATTAAATATGCATGAGATTTCCCAGTCTTTGAAATCAGAAAGGAACTTAGGAACCTATAATTTAAGCATATGCAGTATTCAAACTCTTAGCAAACCATATTCTGCAAAACCACAAGTTTCTTTTTCCCTGGGAAACAACCCCGTGTAAATACTGTCCTTGTTCCCTCCTGCCAGGGGTTTCTTTCAGGTCTGGTTGGCCCTCAGTATAGTTGGGGACTGGGTGGGGTGGCCCAAGCCTGTAATCCCAGGTACTTGGGATGCCAAGATCAGATCAGGAGGATCACAGTTCTAGGCCAATCCAGGCAAAAAGTCTGTGAAACCCTATCTCCACTGATAAAGTTGGGCATGTCTGCCATCCCAGCTTCATGGGAGATAGAAATAGAAGGACTGTAGTCCAGGCCAGCTCTGGCAAAAATGCAAGAGCTTATTGAAAAAATAACAAAGGCAAAAAGGGCTGGTGTCGTGGCTCAAGTGATAGAGTGCCTGCCTAGGAAGCAGGGAGCCCTGAATTCAAACCCTCACACTGCCAAAGAGAAAAAAAGGGTGTTTGAAGAAGTTGGTCCCCATCCTGGACCCTCAACCTCCTTTGATGCAAGAAAGGTTCCAACCCTCATCGCCATCCTCTAGCACAGTCCATGGAGGTGTGTGGCCTGAGGACATTACAATACTGACCACTCCTGACTGCCCATCTAGAACTCAAGGCATGAGAAACCACCTTAGATTATCTGCCTGTGCATTCAGGGGGTAGACCAGAGGATTTCTCAGTAGCCTTGAGATGGGGAGTCTTGGGTCAATAAGGCCTTGACTTTCCTACTTTGGGGCTGAAATGTCCAAGGGGCAGAGATAGGCCAGTCCCAAACCATTCTTAGTCTTTTCTTACCTGGCAACTGTCAGTGCCACCAACCAAATGTCCAGCACAGAGCTCTGTCGATTTCACTTTTCCGTTCAGATACTCATAGCGATTACAAACCTTATTCTCAATCACAGGGAGCTGGGCCTCCTTGAGGAGGCCAGCACCAAATGTCCCTATATTGAAAGAGTAAAGAAATGGTAACCAGGCCTACCACATGGTCATAAGGAAACTTCCAGAACAACAGAACAGCAGTGATAGACCTTGTGTGGTTGAGTAACACGAGGAACCAGACCTAACACTGTTAGAAATCTTTATGGTCCTTGCAAGTGTAAACCTTATATAAGTTGCTTATTATTCCCAAGAACGCAATTTAACACTCTAGACTTCTTGATAGTATCTGGGGGGTTGTTGTTTTCACACTTTTTGCTTTTCCTTTAAAACTATAAACAAAAATTTTTAATGTGTAAAGAAGGTTTGAAAATTGCAATTGCTACTATTTTTGTATATTCCTTTTCAGGCTTTTTTATGCTTCATATATTCCCTACATCATATTGCACAATTTCAAATCCTGGTTTTTCAAACACTGTTGTAGTATAAGGACTTCTTAAATAATGCTACAACCTTCAGAATATTCTAGTGGGACGTAACTATTTAATGGTGGTGAGGTTTCCTTTAGGGGTAAGGAAAAGAGTCTGGAAATGTAGTAATGAGTGCACCACTGTGAATGCACCTAAGAGCCACTCTGATGTACGCTTCAAATTGGTTCAAACAGTACATTTTATGTTGTGGATTTATTATTGCAGAAAAATATAGCTATCATTTGCTGAGAATCAGCATTTGCAGACACAAGCTCATAATACAGTGTATATTACTTAATTTTCACACCAGTCCTTTATCATTCCTCTTATAGTTAAGGAAACTGAGGCTTAGGTTATGTCATTTACCTTGACCTTGGGTCTGGGAAATCCTTACCCAAATGCTTCATCACCAAGCTCTTTGGCCCCTACTCTGGCTTGCAATGTTCCACATCTCTGTTTGTAGTTTCTTTTCCTTCCAGAATATTTTCTTAAGTTCCCAGAAATTATATCGACATATTTATGGCTCCCAGTAGTATTGCCAAATTATTTTCTAAAAGGGTAAGATGGTGTAAAATGCACTAGAAAAATGTCATTCTACCACACCCCTTATAAATGTCCACATTATGTTATTAAATTATAACTTTAATTTTTTTTAGCTAACATAATAGGTGGAAGTGATCCTGATTTGTTTTCTCACATTTCTTCGATAATTAAGGAGAGGGGATGTTCTCCTAGATGCTTGTTTTGCTCTTCGTATTTTTCTTTTTGAGAAAAACTTTTGCTTTGTGAACTGAAGGAGAGTATTGTGGAACTGCCAGAAGAAATGCTGTTTTTCCAGATGGACACACCCGGGCCATCTCAGTGTTTTCACAGACAATCCAGTTTTCCAATTTTGCAAGCACAGCTTTCTCCAGAGTTTTGCAACATGTCTTTGCTAGCATGGAACAGCCAAGAAGGGATATACTATTCCTGCCCAAGACTGTGACTAGACTTAGATGATTGTCTTGGGTTCAGAGAACTTACACTCAATCTGGAGATTAGTGGAGCTCCTAAAAGGCTCATCTAAATGTCATGTCCAAAGCCAAGCTGGGCCCTGGCTGGGCAGAGCCACCATGGAAGAAGGGCAGGACTTCCAAAGTATTTGGCAGGGAGAGCATTGCTGGAATTGAGTAGACGTGACAGCGGAGAATCCTCTCAAATTCTCTGAAAGTCAATCGGTTCCAGTGCCACCACTTTTGTATCTGCTCTCTAAGCAACACACATCCTGACAGAAGTGAAGAAGCTACCAGTAGCAGGAAGTTGGTGTGGTATGTGAGGCGGTTGAGGAGGTGCTGCCATCCTGTGGCCAATGTAGAGAAGGCATTTCTGGAGGCCTGGAGGCTGCAGGTGACCTTAGGACCGGAGCCTTGGTGGGGTTGTGAGGAGGGGGCAACAGAGAAAGTCCAGCAGCAGCAGGATCTCTAAAAGCCTCCAGGGACAGCGGAGGAGGAAGAGCTGGGGCAGCTGACCTGGAAGAGCACCTCCACTCAGCACTTACTTTGCATTTGGAATAGGAAAGTCAGAGAAAGTCTGGAGACAGGAGGGGGAGAGAGAGAGAATTTTCATCTCATTGAGAAGCTAAGAACATTGATTGACTTTAGGTCATTAATGATATGGAGAAAACTGATAGGCAGGCCTGAGTTATGTTATGTGTGTCCTCCTGGTCCAGTTAAGATTCTGAGACTCATGTTCTCAGCAGATGTGTGACAGGACCAGAAATGACAGGGAGTTTGGTGTAGGATAGTGGTAATGATATGTGGGTGGGATGGGACAGAAGAAACAATGAGTGGACCTCGGCGTCAGGCAGGAGTGGGTTCCATCAGGTTCTGCTCCACACTGCTTATGTGATGTTTATTGATGACGCTGAGGTGGATGGTGGTCGTGGTGGAAGTGATGATAGTGGTGGTGTCGATAGTGCTGCTGGTGGTGGTGCAGAATCTTAATCTTCAGAATGACCTTAGAAGGTAGTACAGATGGGGACACTGAGCCCTGAAGAGGTTCCATAACTGCCCGATGTCCCATGGAAGACAGTCGAGCCAGATCCTCACTCCCAGATTCTAAGACTTGGGCTCCATCTTTAACTAAGATACTGTAGAGGACATATATTGTTTTTTTCAGGTTGCTTAGGAGTCAGTCATCCATCTCACATCCCATAATCTTGTTGATGGATTGGCCCTTTGTCCCAGCTACAGGGTGGAGCAGGTGATGCAGGTGTGAGCCGGTCATAACTGGTTCAGAAGTGGGCATGTGACCTGAGTCTGACCTCTGAGATGCGCAGACTCCACGTGGATTGCACTGTGGGGAAAGTGATCTTTCTTCTGCTTGACAGAGAGCCAGCACAGCATCTGTGGCCACAAAGGCCACCTGTGTACCCAGAATGACACCTAGATGGTGGCAGGACGGGGCCCAAGGCCCAGGCCATCATGACAGCTAACAGACTTTCAGCTTATTATGAATTTCCTCTTTTTCACCTAATCCACTCTTAGTTGGATTTTGTCACTTGCAAGAGTGACACAATCAAGTTGGATAAGACTGGATTCCAGGACCCCAGTAAGGGACACGCAGTTTCTGCCACACCATCCCCCACCTTCTCTGAGCCTCAGAGTCCTTGTTTGAAAAAGGGACCAATAATATCTATCTCACAGGGCTCTGTATCCTTCAAAATGTGTAACATAGAACACCAGGAGCTCCTGGCACAGGGGACATTTCATTTGCCAAGCTTCCCCATCCTTGGCCTCAATGCCACAGCCCCTAAGTATAGTACAGAACAGGAAATCAGTGAGATGAGGGAAGCCAGGTTCGAGGTGATCTAGGCCAGTGGTGCTTTATGTCTGTTCATAAGCCATAAGACCTTTCTTCAGAACCAGTCTTTTCAGCTTGGGACAGAGCTGATCCCTCACCAAATCTTCTGAGAAGGAGGCAGAGATCCTAAGACATCCTTAGTCTTCTCACAGGCCCTGCCTGATGGACTAATTGTGTTCAGGGCATTGTGCAAAGAGATGGGGTCCCCAAAGTGAAGCACGATGCTGATTCAGTCCCTGTACGAAGATTTCTTCCCATACCCTCACCTCATCAACCAATGGCAAATGCCATCCCACAAACCTAGGGCCTTTCTCTCCTTTCCCAGCTGTCAGCCTGTCGCACACATGAGACATGGATATTTGGGAGTGTTTAAAGACCCAGAATGGCTAATTTCACAAGAAAAATAATCCACTCACTGTGCCGAATCCTCATCTGGGGAAGCAATATCAACATTGCATCTATAGGTTAAGAGAGTCAAAGGAGAAAATAATCCCCTCCCTTTGCCCCTGTCCCTTAACGACTGATTATGGAGACAGGCTGGTGCCCAGAAAAATGCAGGAGCAGGGTGGGACCAGATTATAGATAGGACTTTGCATAACTTTGTGCAAGATTCTCCCTCTGTCATGTAGGCTGTAGGCCAAAACCAATTCATTGCATGAATCCTGGAATTCACCTCACCTTGAGTTTCTCCCCAGCCAGTGATGTAACACACTGTCCGGTCAGCGACCACGTAATCTGGGGATGGTAGACAAGCTGGGATTACATTGTTAGTGATGACAGCAGGCCTGAAAGGGAAACATCAAGTGTTACATTGTGCAGCCCTGCTGGGGGCTTCTGCCCTTCCTCGTGCATCTCCACAACACAGGCTACCTGCCTGGAAGCCCCAGGACCTTCTGAGCTGGTTTGTCCTCACTTCACTGGCACAGAGATGTGTAGAAAACAACTCAGCCTCACATCGGTCTACTGTCCCCTACAAGCTGAACAAATGTAAGATTTCATTTTAAAAGTATTTGTGTTGAGAAAGTGCTGGTGGCCATGGCCTCTGGGAACAGACAAGAGCCTCGCTCTGTGTGTACATCCTGTGCATAATTGGAGTTTTTCCCCGGACCATTGTTTTGTATTAATTTAGGAGGGCTTTGTTCTGTAGATGGGCCATCTGGCCATAGCACTGCCATGAGGCTGTCGTAGCAGTAAATGTTTGTGTGGCCGGAGCAAGTTGCTACATCTTTTGGATCTTCATCAGCAAATGTCACAAGGCCATGGTTGTAAGAATCTAGCAAAATGCTGGAGACCAAGTGAAAGAGGATTGACACCTTGCACAGGAAAATGGCATGATTTCCATGGACCTTTCATGTGCCTGTAGCTCCATGGCCTCACAGGCTTTAGAACTTTGACTTTCATATCTGATTCCACTTCAGTAAGTTCAAGGGGGGAAAAAAGATTGAAAATGAGGAGTGCCCTATTCTGATTGAGAATCATCATTGTCGCCAACCTCAAAGCAGGTGCGCTTTCCCAGAGGCACCAGAATGGACCCAGCCTCTCACCTAGGTGTCACCTATAGGGTCCCTCACAGGACATTAAACACCTTAGACCCTTGGACTGTAAGCGATGTGGAGTGGGTAATGAAAAGTCAAAATGCATCAAACTATCAGAGACCACTACCAGGACCCAAAGTTTACTAATTACTTGTTCAAGCCATCACGTCACCCTGACAGGTCTCTGAGGACCATGAGGAGCAGAGGTCTTGTATTTGCCTACTTGTTGGAGGTCTTTGGGGGAAAATGAAGGAAATGACTGCTTTTTAGGCTAAGCCAAGAAGGCCCCTTCTTTCCTTTCTTTCTAGAGCATCGATGAGGAAATCATTTCTCAGCTTAACAGACGAGAAAAGTTGCCCTGTGTTTATGACCAGAACCAGAAGAACAGCACTTGGTTCTTGCCCACAGCCTTGTGCCCAGGCCAACCCTCCTCACTGCCAGCATCATCACATCGTCATCTGGAACCCGTCAGGCATGGCTGATGTGCTCCATGTGCCTGTTGACTGTCCCAAACATGCTTTGCTCAAAATAGCTGTCTGTGAACTGTCTCTAATGGGACCTGTTCCCAAATGTTCCTAACTCTGTGGCAAAAGCAAATTTATTACAGTATCGGGTTTAATAAAACACCACCTCAACAGGAAAAATGAAACCAAAGAGGATAGCAGTGATACAATCTGCGTTTGTGAATTGTTTGTGCATGTTTCACTTGACTGTTTTACACTGTGGTTTTTTTAAAGGGTCTTGAAATACATAATCCCATTTGTTTTTCTCAAATACATTGTGCTGAGAAATAGGCTTGTCAGCCTGAAATGACAGATCATTTTCTGGCCATAAGTGCACGCGCATGTGAGCTGCTGAACGTGAAGTGAGAGAGTTGTAGGGCCACAGGGAACCTCATATTTGAACTCACACTTTTTGAACAGGAGGAAACTGTGTCCTGGGGTGTTTCTCAGGCCCACCGCTGGTATGGGGCATGTCTGGGGCTGAGTCCTGGTTTTCTGATGGGCCCTACACCCACATTATAGACATCACCTCCCCATCACTGCGCCACAGTTATGGCTCATAAAAGCCAGGAAAGAAACAAATGACTTCACTCAGCTTGGGGGCAAGTACCTGCTTAGCTTCAGCAAGGCAATATCTGCTCGGGTGGGCTCTGGGAACAGCTGAGCCACTTCTATTTCCTGAACACCTGATTCCAGATTCACTTCCTGGTGTGCACCAAGGATGACCTTGTATGATGAAGCCCTCGAAAATCTAGAAGAGACGTGACAATGACAGCAGTTGGCAAAATATAGTCCAGCCCCTTCCATAGATGCCCTTCTGTGCCAGAAACATCTGTGCCCTTCTGTGCCCAAAACCTGCAGTCACTAAAACCAATGACTTCTGAGTGGCAAGAAACAAAACTCATGATCTGCTTGAACCTGGAAGCTAAGAAATGCCCTTCACCTGCTTTGGGGCAGGGGGTAATGCCTGTGCAGTGAGCAGCTCTGATTATTCAGGCCCACAAAATCACCTGCATTGGGCACAGTTTCTCTCTAGAGACACTTCCCTCCTAGCCTAACCTGCTGTCCTGACTTCTGCCATAGAAGAATGGAGGAAGGCAGGGAGGGAGGGGGAAGAGGGGAAGGGGCAGGGAGGACAAAGAAGCCCATTTGCCCCTGACATACTTCTCCAAGCAGTGGGCAGCTGTCAACACCCATTGCGGGGATATTAACGTGCCTCCACAAAAGTGCTGGCGAAATCTAGAGAAAAAAGAAAAAGCCAGGATTTTAGTTCAAATCAGTTTATTCTGTTCCCTGAGAAAACAACCAGAAAGGCACATTGACATAATTTTGATAAGATTGCCAGTCCTCAAAGGAAAGGGTCTCAGCCCATCAGCAGGATGGTAGGAACACTGAATCCCAGCTGTGAGATTCTCCAGGAGGTCTACATCATTCTCGGGAGTCTGGGTCACAGCCCGTTTACAAGGGAGCAGGGGTGGAGGCTCCAAGGATGAAGCCACACGCACACGGCTTGGGCCTATTAACCCTAGACTCTGACAGAAGTCACCAGCCAAAGGCCTTCCCTTGGAATTGCCCTATTTCTTATAAACAAGATCTGAGCAAAATGATCTTGATGAATCAGTCTGCAGGGAACCATTGTGACCCTAACTAGTGCTGATCCATGGCCGTCTGCTTTATAGGACCACTTTGCCCAGCAGCAGCTCATAATAATGAAGTAAGCTTAGAACCAGAATGTAAGGAAAAGATACAAATAGTAATTGTACGATACCAGGCATGCTAAAAGAAATAAATAATTGGTCAGGAAATAGACCACTGCACAGTTTGGGAAAGAATTAGTTCCAACTCTGTGGAAGCTAAAGGCTCTGTAAAGCAAGGCGTTACTAAACCATAAGGAAGAAAAACCAACTCAGTGGCAGAGCGCAACAAGACGCGCTCGCATGCGTGGATGCTACCCCAGGCTCACGGAGGAAGAACAGGTGCACTGGAGTGGAAGTGAGCTGAGCGAGCCAGCGATGAGCCTGCTTCACACGTGAGCTATATAAGACACGCCTAGGGAAACTGAGCTTGCCATTCCAGGTGTGTTCCACTGTAAAAAGAACCCACATTGTCTGGGTTCCCTAGGATTGGACTGATCACTCTTAAATCATGGTGATGCAAACTATAATTTGATCATGTGTTTTCCAAGTGGGAGAACATTAAATTCAATGACTCACAAAATGTGCAAAGGATTTTTAAAAGTCCGTGTCTCTGATAGACTAGATAAGTGTCACATTTCTAAAAGCATCCCTTTCTTTTCATGTTACAATGAGCCAATGGGTTTCTACACAAACCCACAAAGCATCTTCAGTATTTCCCCAATGACATCAGAGCTTGATTGTGGATGCTGACTACAGATTCTGATGATAGCAGCCCAGAGAGGGTTTTGGTTTTTTTGGGTTTTTTTAATTGCACTTTTCGCCATTTTTAAAGCAAAGAACCAAGATTTTTTTTTTAAGTTATAGCTTTTTTTTACTCCCAAGAGGAACATAGAGGCAGATACTGATACCTCAGCTGTGTGGGTTGGTGTGCTTTGCAGGGCTCACGTAGAAGGATGGAAATGACTGTTTCTGACAATGTTCTTACCTTGTTCTGAGACTGATTTGCCAGGGCCAAGAATGTGGGTTGGCCACACACCCACCTACAATCCTTCCAGGACATTTCTTTGGCTCCACTCGAGGCTTCCCACAATCAAATTCATTTGATCCTGTGGGACAAAGAAGTCACATTTGAGTCAAAGGCATTAATTCTGTAATGTAATTCAAGATAAGTTCATGGTTCGTGGCCAGGAAATGAAAGGAAGTCATCTCAAAGCAATTTTTGGAACATTTTCTTTAAGTTTCAAAAGAGGTAGTAGACTACACAGAGCTCTCTCCTTTGGAGAAAATAAACATTTTTATTATTTTGGGGAGAAGTGATAAAATAAATCAGTATAGTCATTAGGATGAGATTTTTTTTCTGAGACAAACTTGATTGGCACAAATTAGTATTTGTAATTGTTATTCGGACTTGATGTAATATGCTCAGAGCACTGCCTCATCACCACCACCACCACCACCACCATATCACCATCACTATCATCACCACCACCACCATCATCACCACCACCATCACTATAATCACCACCACCATAATCACCATCACTACCATCACCACCACTACCATCATCACTATCATCACCACCACCACCACCTCCATCATAATCACGATCACCACCATCATCACCACCACTGTCATCACCATCATCACCACTATCACCACCACCATAATCACCATCACTACCATCACCACCACTACCATTGTCACCATAATCATCACCACCACCACCATCACCACCACTGTCATCATCACCATCATCACCACTATCACCACTACCATAATCACCATCACTACCATCACCACCACTATCATCACCACCACTACCATTGTCACCATAATCACCACCACCACCATCACCACTACCACCACCACCATCATCACCACCACCACCATAATCACCATCACTACCATCACCACCACTACCATCACCACCACTACCATCACCACCACTACCATCACCATCACTACCATTGTCACCATAATCATCACCACCACCACCATCATCACCACCACCACTACCATCACCACCACCACTACCATCACCACCATTACCATCATCATCACTATCACCATCACCACCATAATCACCATCAGCACCACTACCATCGTCACCATAATCATCACCACCATCACCACGCCACCATCACCACCACCATCACCATGCCACAATCACCACCACCACCATCACCGCTACCACCACCACCATCATCACCACCACCACCGTAATCACCATCACCACTACCATCATCACAATAATCATCACCACCACCACCATCATTACCACAGTCACTACCACCACCACCACCATAATCATCATCACCATCAACATCAACACCATGGCAAGTTTGGTGAGACCACAGTTGTCCCTATTGCAAACCAGTGAGGATGTATTTTTCTTTGGTGTGTGTGTAGATAGCAAGGATGACTATCCTAGGTTGAACCTCATTTCAATACAGCTAACCAATCCCGTGATGCTCACTCTCCTCTACCTGCCTTTCCTCTCTGCCTCCTGCCTGCTCACCTTTCACCAGAAGAGCCTGCAAGTTTCCTGGAGTCAGTGTAATTATCGCCCCCATTAATGGGGCCACAAAGGTATTCAGAAATGTTTCTCTGAGCCGGTGCCCATGGCTCACCCCTGTCATCCTAGCTAATTGGGAAGCTAAGATTGGGATGATCATGGTTCCAGGCCAGCCTGTGCGAGAAAAAGTTTGTGAGACCCTATCTTGATGGAAAAAAGCTGGGCATGGTGACGTGTGCCTGTCATCTCAGCAACAGCAGGAAGTATAAAGTAGGAAGATTGAGGTCCAGACCAGCTTGGGAAAAGTAAGACCCTATCTCCAAATTAACTACAACAAAAAGGTCTGGAAGTGTGGCTAAGTGGTAGAGCACCTGTCTAGCAAGCAGGAGACCCTGAGTTCAAACCCCAGTACAGCCAATGTAAGCAACTTCTCATAACAATCCCAAGAGCCTCTATCTTGGTCAACAGAGATTACACACTCCAGAGAAGCTGTAATTGGAACTTTCCAAATACTCTTCTTTGCTGTGCTATTCTAAGATTCTACATAAGCCAGGTGCTGTGGCTCACATCTGTAATCCTAGCTACTCAGGAGGCAGAGATCAGGAGGATCCAGGTTCGAAGCCAGCCCTGGCAATAGTTTGTGAGCCCCTATCTTGAAAATACCCATCACAAAAAGGGCTGGCGGAGTAGCCCAAGGTGAAGGCCCTGAGTTCAAGTCCCAGTACCACAAAAAAAATTAGACTCTACATATAGTCTTTTTCCAAAAGCAAGCATGCACCTCTCTAACATGTAGCTCAGTTTCTGCTACTGGGCCTTACATTAAATAGACCTGCGTAGCCATGCTGAAGATGTGTTTTTTACATTTGTATTAAAAAATATGCATGTGCAAAATCTATGTATTAAAAGAACAACCACCGAGGTGACAGTACTCTGGTTTTCCATAATCAAAATAAAAGTGAAGATTTCTATTTATTTCACTTGTTATTTATTAGAATTAAATAAATTATTTCATTCATTAAGTAGCTATTTATCTCTAATAAATAGAAATTAAATAATTACTCAAATCATTCAACAAAATATATAATTTTAAATATAAGAAAATAAATTTTATGCTCAAGGTGGCATTCGTGCATGTTTTGAAGTTAACATTTAAGAGGAAAGCCACACCACTGCTTGGCCACATGGAGGCTGTTGAGCCAGACAGATTACACCCGGGATTTCAGCTTGTCTCACTTATGCTGATACTCTCCTGTGACTTGCACAGAGCTGTTTGTTGGAACACACTTTATATTTACACAAATTCTTCAGGTGAGTTAAAGAAGTTTACGGGTTGGTTAATGGTACTTTTTCACATTTAAGATGTGATTTTCCTTATGAATTAAAAATAAAGTTTAAGAAAATTATTGTTAGGAAATTTCCCACTTAAAATCTAAAATTCCCCGGCAATGAGCAATAAAATCTCTAAAGAAAAACAGAAACAATGCAAACACTTGAGAGAGACCAAGTATTGCCTCAAACCATTTTTCTTTTTTTTTTTTTTTTTGATACTGGGAGTTTGAATTTAGGGCCTACACTGAGCCACTCCACCAGCCCTTTTTTGTGAAGGATTTTTTTGAGGTAGGGTTCTTGAACTATTTGCCCCAGTCTGGCTTTGAACTGTGATTCTCCTGATCTCTGCCTCCTGAGGAGCTAACGTTATAGTGAGCCACCGGTGCCCAGCTCAAAGCCATTTTTCTGTCACTCCTAACCACTGCCCTAAACTATCAGGGACACTGCTCCTAAGACCTTGCAGGTTGAGCTCCTTTGCCCAACTCCAGGCCCCTTCATATGGGCTATGAACAGAAACCCGAGGGGAAGGGAATTGTAGGGCTGCCTACCGATCTGCCTTGTGTTTCACTGAGTTCTTAGGATGATGATTTGTAGGCTCTCAGTACACATCTGGCTATTCCTTCTTCCGTCTCAGCTGTTGAGTCACCTATCTAGGTGACTCTGAACTTGTTTTTCCTGTCTCCCAACCCAGACATTAAAGAGTTCGGTGGGACCATCCTAGGCCTGATTAGGTCACCTCTAGGCTTGCACTCAGGAAGTTAATGTTTCATTTACTTAAGTTGGGGGTGGGGGACAAGGAGAGGTGTTCCCATGGGACAGTTCAAGGTGCCAGTGATGAAAGCACAAAGTCATATCCTCCCCACAAGCACTCACCGTGGGTCTGGGGTTTGTTGTGGTTTTGTTTGTCTCTTTTCTGCAGATCTTTATTTGAGAAGCAGTTTCCTTAGAAAAAATAAAGCAACTTACCACACTGGGGGATGTCACAGTAATCAAAAAGCTTTCTTGGATTCATCGTGTAGCACCAGGGGCCATTAACGTCACCGTCAGGATTTCGGCAGTACTGTAAAAAAACAGGCATTTGAGATGCGATCCCCCAGGGCCAAGGAAGGACACAGTGTTCAGAGGCATACACATTTCACTCCTGTCCCTACAAGACAGAAGGGAGTGTTCCTTTTTTCTTTCTTTCCTTCTTATTTTTTTGGCAAAGTTATTTTTTTCTAGGTGTTATAGAGCCTCTGAATCATAGATTGCCATTGATTATTGGCTCCTTGTTAAAAGAAAGTGCCAGCTTTGAGGTCATCTGCCCTGGACAGAGAGTGGCAACTCTGAACAGTCTGAAGGTGTAGAAAATGTTAAATGGGCTTCCCACCAGAAGCCTGGGCCAGGGAGAAATGAGAAGCTCAGCCATGGAGGACAGGGGGAATCGCTTGTCCAGGGGACCAAGACAGGAGGGTCCCCTGCCTTTTCCAATGTCATGACATCATAAATATAATGAGTCTCTGCTGCTCAGTTTCTGACACACAGCTCCTAAGACCTTGTAATTACCTGAGTGATAACATAACACAGAGCTCCCCAAACTCCTGGTACTTCATGGGTGATGGGAGCACCTTTTATTCTATTGAGGTGATTCCTGGGGGGCTCCAAGGTGGCTTCAAGTTGGGGCAGCTTGCCAGGAGGACCAAACATGTGATTAGATGGCTGGGACTCTCAGCCCCACCCTCTGACCTCCAGGGAAGGAAGAGTGACTGAAAGTTGAGTTGATCACCAAAGGCCGATGTTGGAACCAATTGTACTGATGTAATGAAGCCTCCATTAAAAAACAAACAAACAAAGCCCAAGGTTCAGAGAGAATCCAGGGGCTGAGCACATGGAGGTGCTGGAGAGTAGTGGCTCAGAGAGGACATGGAAGTTCCTACCCCTTCCCCCATGCCTTGGCCTTTGTGCCTCCTCACAGCTGGTGTCAGAACTGTTGTGTTGAGGGGTGAGCAAGTGGGAAAATACTTTGGTTCTTCCCACTTCTCAGAGATTCTCCCCCAAATATTCCCAAAGTAAACCATCCCAGAGAAAGTGTGAGACTAAGGGAAACCCTACTGTGGAGAGTTCTGATGGCTTTCCCAAGATTTTTTCTAGAAAAATCTGACTAAAATGTTGTGGTCACTAGAACCTAGAGCGCAACCACTAGAAACTAGAAGACACACACAATAAAAGAATCACGCAGGAATTGTCACAGAAGGGAAATAAGAGGCCCTAGATGCAAGAAGACAGTCGTCTGTGCTCACTGCTCTCCAGGGAGTGAGCCCACATAGTCTAGGCTTTGTTCCCTCAAAACCTCTCCGATTTGTCCCTCCCCTTGTTTCCCCCCAACACCAAAGGTCATCCAGGCTGATTCCCAAAACACAGAATTCTGTTCAAAGATTGGTCAGCAAAAGACGAAACAGATTCTGAATCAAAGTGTCTTACGTTCTTTTCCAGACCTGCCCATGGATTTGTCTCTGGGGTGAAGATGTTATGTACATGTGGCTTCTGTGCAGCCCATCCTTGACATGGAGTGCCAGTGACAGTGGTGGCCTTCTTGCCCCGATACCTTTTACCATTCCCAAACATGCAGTCTGTGGGAAAGAAAGCAGGTGGTTATGGGCCAGTGCATGGAGCCAGGGTGACACAGAGTAAATGCAGTGTGTTGGGTTGCTCTAAGGGGACAGACCTCGTATCACATCCCTCAGAACACTGAATGCTGAAAATCACAGGGGACATAATCACAAGTTTGCAGGATGTTAGAAGGGAATTTTGATGGGGGTAGTAATGACGTCATCTTACAACAGTGTGAGTAACAAGACAGAATACATCCTGGAGAATTTCCTGAGTCCTAAAGCATCTGCCCGCCCACCTTCCTCCAATCACAGCTGATGCTGTTGACGCTCCTTCGTGGAGGAGACCCTCGGCCCACACCAGCACCACCTGGAGCCTGGGAATTTTGACATCAGTAAGACTTTCCATCTCTTTCCACCCCAATATCCAAGTCTGCAGATGCCTGGTCACAGCCCTCTCACCTGGCTCGGCAGTGGCCTGCACACTTGGGACTTGGGTGACGGTAGGTGACTCCACCACACCGTCTCCCATCTCCGAGCATTTTTTCAGGTTGCAGAATTCCCACCTGACACTCGGGTCGGTGGTGTAGCACCAGGGGCTCTTGTCAGCATCTGGGTTCCTGCAGTAGTTCATTGTCAAGTCACTGCAAACCCCAAAACAAGAAGGTCACTAGAAGTGGGGGGGAGAAGCTCCTCTGAATAGTGTTATAACAGAAAATCTGAACAAGCGACTTTGAAATATTCCCATTAAAGATACATTGATAACATCACAGGCACAAATGGTCCTTTTCACCTAGAGTCATATACGCTGTATCCATGTAAAAACTGAGCTTATCCTCCTTCCACGGCCTGCCAAATATACCCGTCAGGATAATCAACAGATTTAAAAGTGTAATTTTAGGTTTTTTTAAGCACATGCAGATCGATCTGAATCTCTCTGTGTCTGACTACCTAGAGAAGCATAAGCTAAAAATAAAACTTATTGCCACAGGAAGCAATAGCATAAATGATAATATTCCCAGGCCAGGTCTCTTGGTTTATTTACTTGTAATGTAGCTAAAATGCTGCACATTTACAATAAAATAAAATTATTAAAATTATGTCACTATAAATATGGTATCCCGCTGATCCAGTGGGTTTGAATTGGAAAGACTTATGAAAGCTGGCTTAGAAAACTAGCTCCCAGGCAGGATGTTGTTTCTACAAGATGAGTTTGTGGACAGGACTCCTGCTCTGGGTCCATCTTCCACCAGCCATTGACACCCAGGGACTGAGGGAATGCGGGATGAGATTAAGAACGGCGAGACTGGAGGAGTAAGGGGGATGTCTGGACAGACTAGGGGCTCTGAGGGATCGTGATGGGACCAGAAAAGGAAAGAGACATAGCAGGTGAGGGTTTGGGGGATACTGGAGGTGCTGCCCCTCTGTGGACTTCCAGGAGCATCAATGCCCCAAGCTCTCAGAATCCTCAGTGTTAGAGACCCTTTCCATTCCGAGCCACGCCTGCACTGTCTGAGGGACCTGGAAATCCAGCCCATGTGTGGAGAGATGCCAGGCCCATGGTAGGAAGAAGACAGTCAGTGGATCACTAAGCAATGGGAGGGGGTGAAGGACATTTGGAAGACATCTGCCTGCTCTTTCCTTTAGGTGACTTGTACTTTACACCTGGTGATTCACATCTCCATGTCACAGATGGATGAACACACTCACTGTGTAAGCCATACCCCGAGCGTGACATAGACCATGTCATCACTCTAGAAGCTTCCTGTGTCACTACACAGCCTCTTCTGCCCTCCCAGAGGCAGAGGAGACGGGTTTATTTCACCACAGCTGCTTTGCCTCTTTCTCGACTTCATATAAATGGACTCCTCCAGTGTACGCACATCTGTTCTCTCCTTAGTACAGCTGCTATGTGAGAAACCAGCAGCTCGTTCCTTCTCATTGCTGAGCCATCCGTGGTATGAATGGGCCACACACTATTGAATCGTTTGCGTATTGCTGGAGACTGAAGTTGTTTGCAGTTTGGGGCTACTATGAATAAAGCTGCCATGAATATTCTTGTTGAGGACTTGTGTTTTCATTTCCCCAGTTCAGGGATAGAATCGTAGGTTTGTAGAGTGCATGCATGTCTATTTAACCTTATGGGAAGCCAGAAAGTAGTTGTATAATTTTAACTTAGACCACTCCACATGGCACACACAAGTGCACTGCACACCCTTGCTGCCCCTGACGCTGCCTGTCTTTTTAAGAGTAACCATTTCCATGGGGTGTTTAATGGAGCTCACTGGAGTTGTAGTTCTTATTTCCTTGATGGCTGAGATGTTGAATTTCTTTTCAGGTGCTTACTGGCCATTTGCACATCTTGCCCTGGGAAATGCCTATTCCAGGCTGTTGCACATTTTGTTAGATTGTTTGTCTTTATTAGTGAGTGGGACGGACGCTTGTATGCTCTGGATACAAGCCATCTGTCAGATCTGTGGACTGAGAGGAATTTTTCTCCTTGTATTTGTCTATTTTCTTAACAAAGACTTTTCCTGAGCAGTTTTCATTTTATGGAAAGCTCAAATTATATAGATATCGATAGATAGATAGATAGATACAGATATATATCTATATATATTTAAAACGGGTTTTTTTGTAGTACTGGGCTTTGAACTCAGGGTCTACACCTTGAGCCACTCCATCAGCTCTTTCTGGTGATTTTTTTTTTTTTTTTGAGATAGGGTCTTACAAACTATTTTCCCAGGCTGGCTTCAAACCGAGATCCTCCTGATCTCTGCCTCGTGAGTAGCTAGGATTACAGGCATGAAGCACGGCTGCCTGATTCAAATTATGTTTTTTATAGTTAATGTTTTCATTCAATTTGACGATCTATGCCTCCGGTGGTAGAGTGACTGCCTAGCAAGAGTGAGGTCTGAGTTCAAACCCCCGTGCTGCCAAAAAATAAAAAGCAAGTCCTTGAAAAAGAAATAAATAATATTGGGACAAAACAGTCTTGAAGCAATGCACTTAATCCTCTTACATTTAACATCATTATTATGTAGCTCATTTTAAGACTATCATTTTCTGTTTGTATCATGTCTTCTTCATTCTTTATTTCCTCCCTTTTAATTTCCTTTTGGATTATTGAATATTCTTATTATTATCTATTCCTGTAGGTCTGAATTGCTCCAGGATTTACAATTTCCCCCTTTTCATCTAGCACATTCAGCTATAAGTGAAGATTGCATAATTCCAAACTAAAGTGAGAAGCTTAGAACAGTGTACTTCCACTTATGCCTGCCTCACCTCCAGTGCTGTTTCCATGACGACATTATCATTTTGCTTCAAGGAATCCATTACCTCCTGAAGAAGTGAGATCAGTAAGTCTTCTCTGTCTACATTCACCAGTTCCAGGCTCTTCATTCTGAGCATCCATGGAAGTTCTCCCTGGTACGATTGCTCCTTGATTTCAGTAGCTTGCTTTAACATCTGTTACGATCTAGGCCTACTGATGAAAAATTCTTCCGGCTTATTTTTTATCTTTACTTGTTGGGGGGAACTTTTTGTTGGGGAACGTTCATTTTCAAATGATAGTTTTGCTACTTAAGGAGTTCTATGCTGACAGTCTTTTTTTTCTTATTATTTCACTAAAGACGTTATCCCATTGTTTCTGGCTTCCAGAATTTCCCATGAGAAAGCATCTTCATTTTTATCACAGTTCTTCTATGCAAATGTTTCTGTTTTCCTCGGGCTTCTTATTAGATTTTTATCTTTATCCTTGGTTTTTTTTTAACAATTTAATTATAATGTACCTGAGTAAACTGCATACTTTGTTTTCTCTTAGTTCTTCTGGTTCAGTGAACTGTTTGAATCTGAGATTACAATTTTTTTCATATTTGGAAAATTTTCAGCCACCATTGTGTCAAGTAATTTTTGTCCCAATATATTTATTTCTATCTCGGTGACTTGCTTTTTCTTTGTTGCTTTGGGCGGCACTGGGGTTTGAACTCAGGCCTCACACTTGCTAAGCAGGTGCTCTACTTGAGCCGAGACTTAGTTCACAATACATTGGGTCTTTTTCTGGCTCATATGCAATTTTCCTTTTTCTTAGTGTTAGCCATTTCTGTCTTTTAGGGTGATATTGTCCTCTAAACTCATACGCAAATTCAAGTTCTTTCTTAAAGTTTTCCTTCTCATCCTATCATTCTTATTGTTTCTGGGTCTGTTCGTATTAACTGATTTTTCTCCTTGTTGTACATCACATTTCATGTGGGTTTGTTGTTGTTATTTGGGGGTATTTTTTGGTTGGGTTTTGAACTTAGGGCCTCTACCACTTGAGCCCTTTTTTGCCTTTGTTATTTTTCAGATAGGGTCTCACATTTTTGCCCAGGGCTGGCCTTGGACCACAATCCTCCTACCTATATGTCCCGTCAGCTGGGATTATAGAAGGTTACCACTGTGCGCAGCTTATTTATTGAAATGCGGGTCTCACTAACATTTTGCCAGAGCAGGCCTCAAATATGATCATCCAATCTCTACTTCCTGAGTCCACGTAGGCCACATTTAATGTTTGTGTTTTTAATTTCTAGTAAGTTGAATTTTACACTGGGCAGGGTAGATGCCATGGTACTGAGCGACTTGATCTTACTGATTCCCTCTACAGAGTGTTGTAGTTTTCTCTGGCAGGCAGTTAATTGACTTGGAGGTCATCTTGATACCTTAAGTATGCCCTTAAGCCTTGTGAGGGTGTTTCTAGTGTAGCTTTTATACATTAACCCCACTCCAAAGCTTGGTTTTCCTGAGGTCTCCATGGAATACCCAAGATGCTCCCTCCTGGGGCTGTGAGTTCTGTAATCTCTGCATAGCTCACTGATCCCTGCAGACGTTCTTCCTCCAGTGGCATCTCTCCCTGCAGGTGTGCGATGATGGGCCTCTGTGCTGATGGCTGGAGCCCCTTCTCTCACAGAGCCTTCCTCATGACTACCAGCCTGGGGAACCCCAGAACCCCTGCAATGTCAAACTCTAGCCACTGCCCATGGTTCAGCGAGACAGCTGTGATCAGCTTTGGTTCCATCTCCTTGTACTGCACTGCAGGAAGTGTCTCCAGGAAGGAGGCCAGAGTCCTATAGGCTCCATCTCCTTTGGCTTTCAGTCCGGTGCTGCCTGTGAAAACAGTTCCTTCTGCACAGCTGAGGCCATTGACAGAAAGGTTGTCTGGTCAGACCTGGCCTGTCCCCTCTCCCTGCCCATTTTACTATTCAGCATCTGTTTGCTTCCTGCTTCTCAGCTGCCTTCCTATTTTGACTCTTCTAGAAACATCTCCCTTCACACCCAGGGAGCCTGTCCAGGGGAGCTCACAGATGATACAGATACAGATACAAATATCAATTTGTGACCCAAGACACAATAGCAGACACAAACGTCCCTTTAAGGGTTTGAGGTTGAATGATCAAATTCTGTAGCTGAAAGACTACATTGACTCTCAGTGCATGCCAGGGTTCTGACCCTAGGCTTTTGGTCGTTTGTTCTCCTGAGCTTTTCACTAGTGTGACCTCCCCCTGCTTCCACAAAACCACTCAGGCAAGGTAGCTTGCCTGTAGCCCTCTTCTCCCAGATATTTTGCTGTAAAGCAGAGTGCTTTAGACATTTAGCCTTCCATTTTAGATCTCCGAGAAATCTGGTCTTAGGAAGTTAGCTCAAAGCATAACTCATTTAACAGAAATTTAAGTTGGCAATTTCTCGTGTTAGAGTTAAAGTCAGACATACGCATTTGGGTAATTCTGTGGGGTCTTCTGATGTCGGTGTGGGGTCATAGATGACCATGATTGACACTTCTTTCCTGTGATGGTGGTGGACGACGTGCCTCGGTAACTCTGCCCGTTATCCTGGTAACAATCCTGGACCACAGGGGTCTCCTCTGGTGGTGCTGAAATTGAAACAGAAGAAATCCAGCCAAGTAAGGACTGGAGCAGAGAGACATGGGCAATGGCACTGTTCCTATCAGCCAGCAGACAAACATGCAAAAACCATAAGAGGCCATGCACACACACACACACACACACACACACACACACTCACTCACACACACT